AGAAATTCGCTCACCGCATTCACTCGCTCACTACACTCGCACACTCATGATATAAAAATCCCAACACGTGCCAATTGTCGCTCAGATTCGTTTTTGTTTTTGTGTGTGTGTGTGTATTTTTCTCGTTGGGCATCAAACACAAGGTTCGGGTCATTAAATAAAGAGAGACAGTAAGAGAGAGAGAGAGAGAGAGCGAAATATACAGATATAAAACGTAAACAGCCAAAGGACAAACGGGAACGGGATACCAGTCCAAGGCTTATTAAACACAAGGTGAAAGGACAGCCGCAGTGGATGGGCACTCGGCCTTCCCTTCCATTTCTATATAACTTGCTATGAGCCAACAGCAGCAGTAAACAAAAAAAGAAACCCTTGTAAAAGTACGAAGCGAATTATTTTGCAAACAAAAGTGCGCGCCAAAGGAAGTGGGGCAGGCAAGAGGGGAGAAGTGATTTACTTTATCGATAGACATAAAACAATTTGGCTGCCCCTCAATGACAGTTGTCTCCCTCCCATCCCACTCCACTGTCTTCCCCTTCAACCGTTGGTTATCGGTCTGTCTCCCCTCCTGACGCGTCTTTCCTTCACCCTTACGGCTGCCAGAACATCTGTCATGGGATGAATGTTATGTTTGTGTGTGTGTGCATCTGTGTGTGCTCTTTCGTTCGATGCCTTTTGTTCGGTTTTCTGGTTTTCGGTTTTTATAAGGCATAAAAATTACACATGTGCCTTCGCGCCCAGGATCCCTTGCTTTCCAGGTACTTAACAAAAAGAAAGAAAAAAAAACAAAGTAGCAAAGGAGCAAAGCAGAAAAACAACAAAAATACTTTAAACTTTCGTTCTCTAATTGCAGAGTGATATAATTCGGATGGTAAAATGGGATATATTTTTCATAGGGTGTGCCTATGGTCGAAATGTCGTCTAGGAATATTGTTGTTATTTTTTTTCTTTTACTACACAATCTTCTCTCTCTTCCCCATCATCGTTCTGGGTGTGGGGCAATTTTCTCCTTCTATTTTCCACCTTGTTCACTTTTGCATACAAAATGGGAACAGGGCTACCTCCTCCTTCGTGCAAAGATCCCCTTCCAAGGGTGTCCTCTCTAACTGTTGCTGATTTATGGTCTGGCATAAAGGGCGACCAGGGTATGGGACGTAGGAATGTTGGATGACTGTTTAGTTTGCATGTTGTTCTCCCTCTGTCCCAGCCCTTCTAAACTTTGGATCCTTTCTCAGCTACTTTTACGTTGGTCGGTGCCTTTTGTAGCATTAAAATGACATAATAAAATGTATAATTTCGACATAAAAAATAAAATCCCCAGAGAGATTTTGTTGCGCCCAAGGCTCCTCCTCCTGTACGGCACCAACCAATCTCTCGCCATCTCTCTTTCTGCCTCTCTTTATCTTCCATCTTCTATCTCTATCGACCCACACACACTCACACTAAAACACCGACCGCACACCGCAATTTGATATCTGACTATACGTATGGCATATCAATTAGGTGTGTAGGTCAATAGTTTAAGTGGGGCAACGATGATGATGATGCTGATGATGATGGGAGGTGAAATGAAACGGCTATGACTTTTTGGCATCATGGCCAAAAGAGGATTCTCTCTCAGTGTGCATGTGTGTTGACTCTTGTCGAATCAGTCCGTTTGATGAGAAGAGTATTTTCTTTGGAGACATACTTTTATGTTTCGCCTCTATGTACCTTAAGAAAAATATAGGATTGACTGTGCTCTAAATGGACTAATGATATTATTTTCAGTGTATGATTTTCCACTGTTTTTTTCGGTGTTTACTCTTTATTCTTCATTGCTGTCCGTTACTCTTGCCATTTTCCTATTGATGTTGCTGTTACACCTGTCGATGAGAGCGATCTCAAGAGGCAGAGTTTTGCTGTGTTTGGTGGGGCATAGTGCAGAAGGAGGCTTCACAAGAAAATGAATGAAACTGTTAGCGAGAAGCTTTACACTATCCATTCTCGTATTTTATCCTCTATCGCAGAATTCCTTTATAAATTGATTATAATTTGATTTAAATCGTAATTCATTGGCCATTCTTTGGAAGAAGGAAGACTCACAGGACTCTCCAGTCCCTCTTTTCGCCCCATTTGCCACTCACTTAGATATTCATAACTGACACACAGCCAGCAAAAATTTTAATAATTCAACTCTATAATATGCACAAGGCTGTGCAGGGAATAAGGGGGAAAATTCGCTTCTTGGCCAATGCCAAAAGCAGCCGCCAATGATAGAAAGTCGGCTAAGAATGGGGCAGACCAAAATGCAATAGAATAGGCGGGGGAGCTGCAGTAGCCAAGGACGGGGGTGTGTGGGGATAAGAGTGGGTGTGGCAGTGGGGGATGTTGCGACGCTGGCAGAACCCACAAAAACCAAAAACTTTTGCAGTCGTGTGTGAGTGGCTGCCACACAGGGGCACATTTCTGGCGAGGGGTTAGGGTAAGCGTTAGGGGTTTTTAGGGGATGCCACAGAGTGCACCAGAAGCAATGGCAGCAGGAGTGGCAGGGGGGCACTGGCAGAGAGGCGCCCTGGTAAACCGCGCGCTCTAGACACACATTAAAATTTCAATTTTGGAGAAATTAAAATTTTATCAGTTTGTTGAGTGTGTCGCACACGTTTTGTACGCTTTTCCCCCGACTTTTTGTCCTCGACACACACACACACAACCAGCGAGAAAAGTCATAAAATGACCAAGAACTCGAAGCAGAGGGGGCAGGGGCCAGGTGTTGCACAGTAAAATGTTGAATATATACAAATTCGAATACGTACATATATTTGAAACTATCTTTATGTATTTATGGGATTGGATCCATGGGTTTTGTAAAATGCGGCCCCTGTCCCTGAGAGTCATGAATGTACATACCATCGAAAGATCGTCCTTCATCTTCCGCCCGACAGTTTTCGACCAGAAAATGAGGGCTCAAGAGTTTTACGGCCCCGTTGCAGAGCCGCGCCCCAGCACCACCTCGCGACCCGAAAGGAAGCTCTAAGGTCTAAAGAAATCTGTTATGGTTAAACTTTCGTGGAAGCGATGCAGAGTATAAGAATATAAGAATATACTCTCGTCCGTATACCCGTAGTAGAGGCAACAAAAACCAAATAAAAAACGAAGCAAAGTTTTCGACAAATTGCAGCGAAAAGTGCACAATGGCTTAGCCATGGGGAAACAGTGCGTGGCGACGGCGACGACGAAGCCCGCCGCCCGAAGAAAAAGAAGAGCAACAAAAAGCCGAAACAAGACAGAAAAAAAACACGTCGATTTTTCTACTTTGCTCAAGGTGGAGGGGTAGGGTGGGGTGGCTTGAAGACTAGGCAGAGGACGGACTGTCGGTGGACGGGAGGAAGTCGTCTGCAAGCAGAAGAAGAGGAGGCAAAGAAAAACCAGCAAAACTTGGCAGCACAGCAGCTCTCTCGCTCTGTTTATTGCATGGCGCTAAAAGCAACTGGGACCGTTTTTGTATACCCTGGACGTAGGTAACTTGGGGGCGGGGTATTATCATTATGGATTTACGTTGCTAATATTGAAAACAAGCGTAGATTTGCGATATAACCATGATCTTCTGTTCAAAAACAATTTAAAGCAACTTAAAACAGATACTAAAAAAAACTTGCTGATATTTCAAGCAGATCGAAATCAAGGAGCAACATAAAAGTCGCATTACTATCATTTGATTTTGTTTTTATCGAAAATATAAAAATCCTTAAATAATCATTATTTTGTAGCTCTATTTTGTTATATTTAATTCTTTTGTGCAAATATACTAACTAAAAGACTTTTTCGGCAAAAAAAAAAAATTATTTCCGTTCCCGGATAACTATTTCCATAGTACACATTTATAATTTTTATTTATTTTATTTACAGGGTACTCAATGTTTTGACTACTTTAGTGAGGTGGTCCGTTTTTTTTTTTTTGCGACTGCTCTTTATACGTATGTATCTGTGTGTCTATGTTTCCATGCTTATTTTTGTGTGTGTGTAGTAAATGTGGGCGTACAATTTTCAATTATACATTTTAGTGGCCGCCGCAGCTCATTGACAATAAAAAAATATACAACTAGGAACAGAGGAAATGAAAAACCAACGAAGAAGTGTAGGGGACGTGGTAATGCAAAAAAAAAAAAGGTTACAGAAACGAGAAAAGTTTTTGGGAGAATCCGATTTAATGTCATGTGCGTAGAATTGCTGTCCATTGTCCAATCACCAACAAAGGTCCTCAGATTTTAAATCATTAATTCTAAACTGCGACTAAAAGTCGATTATCAATAATAAGTTATTCGATATGGTTCACAATGTGTACAACACATGTAATACATATTATGTACATATATAAAGTATGGGACAAATCGCTCGTATATCTCTGTGCACGAATATCAAATGCTGTTGATTCGCAGTAGAAATTTCTCATAAGCAAAACGATACTTTCCTTATGAATGATAGACACCATTCCCAGAGAGCAATTTTATCATAAAGATGCTGCTATTTAAGATTTAATAGATACACAGTACAGCTTTGAAAAACTGTCGTAAATTGGGCAAAAATAATTACCAAAATATTTAAGTTTTGGATCGGAAATTTCCAATATTATATGAAAGATGAGGTAATATGCCATTTGAACCAACAATCGAAATCCGCATATGTGGAATGTGTTGCTAATGGAAAAGTGTTTTCTAAATACCAATTCGTTTGTTTTTTTCTATTCTCAATTTAATATAAAATGGGTTTATAAGAATTCATTGAAAATTTTGCATTTTTTATTATTGGCTTTTGCAGAATGCAGTTTTACTTACTAAATTCCTGAATTTGTTAGGGTTTTTCCAACAAGTAACACATAATAGGAGAATAACCTTGAGGGCTAATGATATTAATAAACGATAGACTGAACACGGTAATGGGATTTTCTCTATCTGTTTTACAAATATGTAAATGATAGAATTACTACCGATAAGATAAATATTATATAGTGGAGGACTTACCGTGGTTTAGTTAGTTTCTTCATATGTATATCCATATCCTGCTGTGATCGTTGATGAAGTTGAAGGTGTTGCAGTTGTTGTCGGGTTCGCGTTCGCGCTACTCATAGAACGCATCCCCCATCCACCCGCTTTTGGGGCGTGGCGGCGTCTGCTGAGTGATGATTAATCCAAGATATCTGGGGGTTTAAGCTGCCGCCCACAAATTATGAGGGTGTGGGTGTAGCAGCTTAGCTGTCTGTGTCCAGACCAGTTCCTGTTCCTCGGTTTCTGATTTCTGATCCTATTCCTATTCCTAGTTCCCTGGCCTCTGGGGAGGCGGAGGCACTTGCTTGTTGTTGGTGTTGTTGTTGTGATTGTTGTAAGGCGATGATGATGTATTTATTCAGGCACCGCATGAATTGTTGGTGTCTTTTGTTGGCAGGTTACTAGCGTTCTTGGTGTTTTGTTTTGTTAATTTTTTTTTTCAATTTTAATTGGTGTTTTCTACATTACATTTAATCTTTAACGTTTAACAATTTAATGATTCATTATTGATAATATTGCTCGATTCGCTGTTGGTTGAGGTTGTTGTTGTTTAACATTAGTTTTGTTTTTACTTTTTGGGGTGTTTGTTGCTGTTGCTTAAGCACTTGGGGCGCATTTACCATATATAAAAATTTTTGTATTACTCATTTGATTTATACCTAAGAAATACGCTTTAGGATAAATTTGTTTGTTTTTTTTTAATATTTGAAATTTCTAATAATTCTAATAATTTGTTGAAGTTTTTTGTTCTATGAAGAATAATTTGTTTTGTAATTTGCACTTGACTTTTTTTTTAATGTTTTTTTTCCTTTTGTTTCTTTGCTTTCTATCTTCGTTCTTGTTTAAAGTAATTTTTACTAAAGTAATTGCGTTTGCGGCTGATTTGATTTTTCAAGCGGATTGTAAAAATTGTTAAGAGTATTTGATATAAGAAATATATATATATATATATGTATGTATATATATTGGTATTCTATATACTATGATCGTGTGTGGCTATATATAATAAGATTTGATTGCACCGTTAGAATGTAACGCACTTTAACCACGATTCTCCGCCACGAGTCGTCATCATCCTGCTCCTCCTGTTGTATATACCATCCATATCGAATTTGTATGTGCTATGGCTATGTAATATGTATATAGGCTGTATATAATGCTTGTATATAATAATAACTATTGGAAGGCGTACTTTTATAGGCTCTCTAAAGTTTATGCTTCTTTTCTGCTTGTTTTTTCTCTGTAAAGCTAGTGGCTACTTCCGTGTTAATGCGATTCGTAATAAACTTTTCTTTGCTTTTCTATTCCTTTTGTTTTTTTTTTTTGTAACTACATGTTTAACTTTTTGTTGCTGTATTTCGGGTGTTGTCCCATTTTGTTGTCGTTTAATTTTGTTTTTTTTTTTGTATTGCTTTTTGTTTGAGGCGATTGATAGATTAATTTATTAGTTGGCTGTAAAATTGATCAGAATGTTTTTTTTTTAAATACTTTTTTGGTTTTAATAAATGTCTTGCAAGTACAAAAGTTTGTCATGGATATGGATAATAGATATTCGATAAATTTTTAATCCGATAGGTTGTTGTTTATATCCCTAATATGTAATCCCTATAATCTCCCCTTTCCCATTTAGCAAAAAAAAAAATCATCCTAGCTACAACAACAAAAAACCACAGAACAAAAACCACATGCAAGGACACAAACACACACACGCGTGCTTATTTCTCTCTCTCCAAGTAATTGCTCTCTGCACACTCTTCACTCAGCAACAGCTGTTGATCGCAATTGCAGCACTGCGCGCACACACACACACAACAAACACAGAGATTGCATTGAGCATTTCATTCCGTTGATGGAAGAACAGCAGGTGTTAAATAAAAATCAAAAATGTTCAAGAGATGAAGCAGATAATTATGTAGAAGCGTCTTTTACTGGCTTCTGCTCCATGTACAACAACCATCATTCATTCATTCATGAGTGTAGTTGTATTTTTTGTTGTAGTTGTAAATGAGGAGCCAAAGGGCAACGCACGCATACCGTACCGCTTCAACTTTTTTTCTGTCTGTCTTTGCCTCTGCTTTTGCCTAACAACAATAAGAAGACAGCCGCCAAGCAGTTCAGTTCCGTTATGCGAACTGAAGAGCAAAGCAAAAGGCGAACACGGTGAGAGAGTGAGTGAGCGTGCCAAAGTGATTGAGAGAGATAGAGACGGAGAGCGAGGTGATCAGTGGAAAGAGCGATAGCGAGAGCGAGAGAGCAACACAATCACACGGTCGTTTGAAAAATTGACAATAAAAACGTTCCCGAAAGTCAATGCGCATTTCACTTTTTTTTGTCGTTTCTTTTCTTTTTCGCCCGTTTCTTGTTTCATCGCTTTTTTGGTTCCGTTTTCGTTGTTGTTTTTTTCGGTTTTTTTTGGTATTGAAATGCGAAAGCGAAAATTTTTTTTTGGTGTTTTATCTGTTGATTTCTATAATAATTTGCATTGAAAATGTGCAAATGAAATAAAAATAAACTGCCTGCCGCCATGTGCCCCAGAGCCAGAGATATGTAGAGAGGGGATAAACAGGGGACGCGGGGCGGCGTGTGCTCTACTATTTGCCTTTTCATTTCTTTTTATACATATGTATACATATGTATATATTATAATCAACTTAAAAGCACTTTTTAGCATTTGCTTTGCTATTTCTTTTTCATTTTAATTTACTTTTGATTTTTCATTTGCCGTTGCCTTTTCATTTGATTATGCTTTTGCTGCCTTTGCTTTGCCTTTGAACTTTGCACACTGAAAAAACATTTATTGCACTTCTCTGTGGAATATTTTTATGGGCACTTTTTTGATTGGAGAACGAACGAACGATTCAAAGGGTGGGCAGGAGCGGCGGCGGCGGCATTTGGGAAGGCACACAAAATGACACGATGATTTTTCGTGTGTTACTTTTGCCACTTGAATTTATTACATATTTCTCTTTCGCTTTTCGGCGATTTTCGCTCTTACATTTTTTACACGGCGCGAGCAACGAACGGCGTCTCAGACGAGACTGACAAAACAAACGCCGATAAATGAGCGGCGGGACAACAAGAAAACGGAACCAGCAAAAGAGAATGGAAGAGAGAGCAGGCCGATGAGTGAGCGCATGCGCATAGAGCGGTGAGAGCGGCACAAGCTGGCAGCTGTTAATCAGCGGACATAACAGCAGCAAAGATCGTCTTTACAGAGCGATGTTAGTCGAAGATTGAATTAATTTTAAAGGGAAAATGATTAGGAAAATGAAACAGTCGGTCAATATTGTAACAATTACTTGATGAATGGTTTTCTCATTGATTTCCTACCAGCAAATGTATTAAAAAAATGAATGAATTATTGTCAGAGAGTGGATTGCGAGAGAGGAGAGAGACAGAGAGAGTACGTCTCACTGTTACTTTTCGCTGCTGCTTCTGCTTCTGTAAGTTGCCAATACATTGGAATTTGAAACCGTGCGAACAACAAAAGGAAAATCACACCTCACCCCCCCTTCCCTCTACATCTTCTTGGGAGTACGTACTACACGTTACGTTACTAGATACACCCGACCGCCTGTTGGCCTTTTGTTTGGTATTTTAATACCCTTTATACTATATGTTTTTTAAGAGAGGTTTTGTAAGGTAATATTACATAAGAATACATACTGTATTTTAAAAGTATTTCGGAAAACCAGGAGCACGTCATATTTATTTCGATGAAAGATAGATCTGGAAAGGTATCAACAGCTTCGGTCACCCGCTGATACCTTCTTTTCAATGTTTTGTAATTTGATTTCATGAATCAATTTCCATGACGTCCTCACTTTGTGTTAACAGCAACCCAGGAACGGGTTGAATGGGAATAGGCAGAGGAGGGAGGCAACGGCAACAGGAAACGTTTGTGTTTGTGGCTACTGCCGCCCCTCCATAACATTGAATCGAAAGTTAGTAAGTATTTATTTTGACCTCCTATCTGATAACAGATATGTAATAACTGTAATTCGTTACCAGAATTTAATAAAAAAAAAAGTAAAGCAAACATGAAAAGGTTAATCAGGGGATAATCAACTGGGGAATACGATTCCATTTGGATGAAAATGTTGTAGTCTTTTCACCTTGAACTTTAAATTTAGTAAGTCTATGCAAATAAATGATCTGATTTACAGATCAATAAAAAAGTTGTAGAGTTTGACAGCTGATTGTACAGAAATAGTGTTGTATAATTGTGAATTGGTTTAGCAGTGTTGACAAAAGTCAAAAACAAAATGCACTTTAATTTATTGATGAAATCATCAGAAGAAGGTTTTTGTATAAGGTTCACAGATATTGAAGTTTCTATACCTATGGAAATTTTTTACTGCTTTAATTCATAGTTTTGGAATTATTAGTATGGAATAGGTTAGTGGAATTTCCACGAAATTCCCACAATCTCCTATGCGACCTTTGATTTATATTCCCGAAGTGCTATTAGTATTTACTTTTTGCAAGCTTACTATTATTATTGAACAAACTAAAAAAAAATAAGTTTCTGTGATAATTCTGAGACATCAGACCGCATTATTTCATCAGCACCCAATCGGAGGAGGAATCATAGATCATAGTGAGCGAGAGAATGGCTTCTTAATGCCCATTCCTATTGGAATTTCCCGCTTTCAAACAATTACCACGGGTTCTTATCAAAAAGGCATTGAGGTATGTCTGACGCTCTTTTTTTGCCCCTCTCTAGGCTTTCATCTTGATTTCAATAGCATGATAAACTGATAAGAAAGGGACTTTGTATTTTTTTATTTATTTGTATTTGCAAACCCATCGAAAAGCAGTTCTAAATACAAATTAAGACAAAAGCAAACAAATAAAAAAACGAGCAAAGCCAAACACGCACGCACACACTGTAAAACATTTACAGTAAAAAGAGCGCGCCATAGAGAGAGAGAGAGCGTGTGGCGGCATTGTCCGTCTGGCATTTGACGTTTATTACTGTATTTTTTGTGCCTTTGCGCGCGAATTCGCTGCGCAACGCAAATTAAAATTAAAAGAGAGAAAAAAAGGTAAAGGCAAATGCAAAAGCAAAATTAATTTCTTTCTTTAACCAACGGCGTGGCGGGAGATAGTGTGTGTGTGTGTGTGAAAGAGAGTAAGTGCGAGAGAGCGAGAGCCATGACGAACTTTTGACACATTTGCTTTTGTTTTTTCTTTCGTTTGCACTGACTTTGTTCATAATAAATAACATAGCTTACCTGCTCTTCGATTAACTGCTAGGCCGATTCTCTGCTACAAAATCCAAAAATGTTTAAACATTATTCAATACGAACATAAAAAACACACACGCACGGACGCACACGGACACAAATATAGTGTAGTAATGTTGTAGTAGTTTGCTGGTGTTGGTGTTGCTGCTGCTGCTGCGGCTGTTGTTGTTGCTGCTGATGCTCTTTCGTTGGCGGTCAGATGTTGCATTTTTAATGATTGCCGATGCGCTCCTCTCCTCCCTCCTTCACATTTAATTAAGTTTAGATTTTAACATATAAAAAACGTACGCGAAATCACAAACACACGCGAACGCACGCACACACACAGCAACTAGTAATTCTGCTGTGCGAACAGAGGCAGAGGCAATGGCAAAGGCAGTGCAGAGGCACACAGGCAGCGCTTACGAAAAAATGTTTACGAAAACAATTTCCATGGGAAAATCCACTTCACTTGGGTACTACGCGGCCGAGTAAAGGGTTTAAATACGAAACTAGTCCATTTTGTGTTGTTTTTGATTGTTTTTTAACGAAATTTAGTTGCGTGTTTTGTGTTGGTGCAGAGAAAAGAGCACGAAGATACATATATATATATATTTCGGCAAATCAGCTGTTTATTCGATAGTTTATTGTCGGTGCTGGAAAATGGTCTGTGGAATATTTACGCGATATGCGCCTTTTAGAGTATTCGATAATATTATCGCGCCAAATTTCAACCAAATTTATTTGTTTTGAACTTTTAATAATATATTCAATTAATTAAGTTTTATGGATAATCATCGGTAATAATAATTATTATAATTTTATTATTATAAAATTAATTATATTTAGAGCCGTCTATTTGTATATTTCATTCTTCTGTGCGGCTTTTGTAAGTGGATGATTTTTTCTGTTAGTGACTAACCATACAGTATAAAGATGTGCCAGTTCATACAACGAAAGTGGTCCAGCTGAGTTTTCAGCGTACGTTCCCAGGTCTTCGGCTCTGAGGCCGATCGCGTTCGGCTCTGGGGTTGACCGCGTTCGCCTCATGACGTAACAGACACGAGCCGACGGACAGCAAGCATGTATGTGTGTACGTGTAACACTCAAAAATATTTTGACGACTCTAAAAAATCTGGTAGCAAACGATTTCTCCAAAACGTTCGAAAATAAATGGCTGCTACAGTTAAGGCGTGTGTTCAATTCTAAAGCCTTAATCATATTAGTTCCCCGGTCAGTAATAAATTTATTTTTTCAATATTATGCACTCCAAACTAATTAAAAACACTTTTGAGCTTTTCAGAAATGTTTTTACCGGTGGGACCTTGTAAAATCCATTGATTTCATTCACAAAACCATGCCAACAAATTTTGCTTCTTTTTGGTAGTGGAATGTAACTCCTAAGAAGTTGCGCTTCACGTAGTTGTCCCCGTAAGCCCACCGGCACAAGCATCCCACCCGTTTTATTGGATTGGATTGTGGAGGCCCACCGACGGCACCAAGCCCAAACCCTAGGCGGACCCGGCAGGGGGCCGAGAGCCCACCAGGGAACGGAGGGGACAGGGCGAGGGAGAGAAAAACACAGCAGAGGTAGGGGCGGGTCAGATCAAGAGTAACCACCAAGGGCACAAGGGCCAGGGACCCGAGGGGTAACCCGAGGGGGAGGGCGACACACGGAGCCAACAGGGCCCACCCGAACGCCGCAATCACGTTGTTTTCCTTTGGTGGGGTTACCCGCGCTCGCCGGCGCCCACACTCAGGCTTTGCGCCGGTGTTCGGCGGGGACTCAGGTTTTTTGCCTTTGGTTTTGGCCTGTTGGTGTTTGGTGGGTGTTTTTTTTTGGGGGAGGACAAAAAAAAATTACGAAATTCCAAGCAAATCGTAAAAGAAATGAAGAAAACCAAAAAAGGGCATTTTTGACGCTGTCAATAAATTCTTTGCAAAATGCAAACAATAATACTCAAAAATTATATACCTTTGTAACAACAAGATATAATTGGCTAATATTTTGTATGCATAACATTAGCATCCATAACTGCCCTAAGGCGACGCGACATCGACGATATAAGTGCCTCTATATCGTAATATTCAGATATTTTTCCCCACTCCTCATTTATACACTTTATCAAATCAATTTTTGAACTTGGGGCTGCAGATATAAAGTGTCTGGGTACGATTTATAGTTGCATTTGTCAGCTTTTCAGAACTGCAAAGTTCTATGCAACCAGATATAAGATACTTAAGTTATGTGAAAAATAGAAGCACTACCTCTGAAACAACAAAAAAATACCAGATTTTTAAAAAATTATTTTAAAAAAAACTACACCATAAAACGAGAAGGAACGTGTGAGTCGCTTCTGGGGATGCGACTCTACTTATACCCGTACTCAGTCAGTATATACATTTTTGAGCTTATGATTTTTAAGAATTTTAGAAAAAAAAAA